GGGGATCACCTGGCTTAGCTCTTTGCCTCATCTTCCAGACCAGGAAAGGGAAACTTGGAGGAGAGAAGAGTGAAGGGCTTTGCTCCAGGTAGTGAGTTGAAATGTTTGTGTTTATTTTAGCAAGTGTGACTAAGTCGGCACTGTGCTGTAAGAGGGTTGACCTTGAGACTGCCTGGATTTTCTTGGGTATTTACTACTGGGATAATTGTGTGGGGAGAGTCCTTTTTGTAATTTAGTTGTAATACTGGAGAGCTTGGTGATTCCTTGGGAGGCAGAAATATTCAGAGCTAACATTTGCACAGTGCTTTATAGCTTATAAAATACACTCACATATTCAATCTTACTCAGTCCTCCCAGTAGTCCTTCAAGGTCGTTATGACAATTATCTTTCTTTCACAGAGGTGCTAACTGAGGCTGGAGGTGGCCTGCTCAATGATACAAGTTAACAAGGGAAGACTTAGCAAATGAATGTATATTTGTGTGACTCCTAATCACAGCACACTGGCCCAGTTGACAGAACCAATTTGGAGAAGTTAACGCGGGGAGCAAAGCTGTCCTGTGCTGATGGTGTACAGCGGTAGAAGAGGAAGGCAGCCACAAGGCCGACACCAGCTGTCAAGAATGCAGCCGACCACTCTCATTTTGAGCTTTCCAAAATGAAGGGTGACATGATGCTGGGGAAGGTGGTAACGAAATCTCTTTGAGCAAAGCTTTAGCATTTTGAAAGTGCCTCCCAGATTACATCAGGAAAGTTCCAAGGCAGGCTCACACTATCATCTCCTTTTTGCATCTAAGGCCCAGAGACTTAAACAACTGATGGGAAATCATTAAGCCAGTTGGTGATAGAGCAGGAATAGGATGCACAATGTCTGACTCTTACTCTTTTGACTTCTACTGAGAGCAGGTGCATCTGAAAGGGGACCCTGAGTCTGAGATGTGGGCGAGAGTCATGGATGGCATTGATCCCATTGCATTTCCTTGTTTGGAAGGAAACCCAGACAGCAAGCATTTTGCCAAGTAGCTGAGTGCACCAGGTTTCCCTTTGTAAGCTGGGTTTTTGAGCTCTGCCTTCAGAAACACTTCAATGACTCCTCAGTCATGTACTGAATCTGTACATTCTTGTTACTGCACTGGTGTTCAAGGGAAGAGAGAAATCAGAGAGCTGATAAAGAGTTTCAACTGGTTTTTGATTTTAGTAGAATTCTTTCAACTGCAGTTACCAGGTACCTACTTCTGTTTACAATTCAGTGTGAAGGTAAAGATTACACAAGAAAAGACCTGATGCAGACTTGGGTTTCAAGAACTGGGAGAGACGTTTGATATTCTGAAAGTCGGCTTTGGCTCCTAAGGGATTAAGAAAAGTGGTAGAGACCCCTCTGCTGACTGCTTTGGGACAAACACCTTCCACCTGAAGATGCAGAAAAACTGCTGTCCGAGGGAGATGGCCAAAAAAAGCCCTACCTGTACCAGATTTTTATATTTTGTAGAATTTCCTGAATCTAAATCTAGTTTTCTCTTGAATTCCATCTGCATCTGGAACCCAGGTCCACAGGTAAGGATAAGGAAACTCATTAAAATACAAGCCCCTGTATTAATTAGGTGCCCTTACCAAGGGCTCGCTGGGACATGGGGGATATCAGTTTAAGCAGGAGTGATTTATAGTTGTAACAACTAATAAGAAACTTCTGATCACACACAACTACTTTAATGACTACCTGTAAATAGTCTGCCTTCCACAAACATAATATTCTTAGTAAAGTCAAACAGAAATAATTTATAATGGAATATTTGATAAACATTCTTCATAGTATTCTGAGTGTCCATTACTTCAATGAAGGAATCTAAAATGAAGTCATTCTTTGTCAATGTTCTTCTTTGCTTCCTATGATTGGGATACTTACTGTGTGTTACATATCATATGTAGTTGGACTCCGTGGATCATTCTAAGAGCAGTAGAGGATAGAATTCACCACCTCGATGTTCTTGCAATCTAAAGAGAGAAGATAGACAGATATTAACAACATAAACACATAAGTAGTCCTCTGATCCATGAGGATATGTTCCAAGACCTCCAAGGGATGTCTGAAACCCTATAAATTCTACATTTTCCCCCTATACTTACATATATACAGTTTAACTTGTAAATCAGTCACAATAAGAGATTAACAATGGTAGTAAAAAGAGAAAACAAAATAATACACTATTAAGAAAAAAATTTACATGAGTGTAGCACCTTTCCCCACCCCCTTAGTACCTTTAATGGACAGTAGATTTTAGCAACATCAGAGCACCACTTATTTTTCTTTCTTTACAGAGAACTTTTAACCTTATCACTTAAGGAAAGCATTTTACTGCTTCTCTTTGGCATATCTGAATTGCCAACATTACTACTTTTGAGTTTGGGGTCATCAAAATAAAAGTAAAATAAATGTTACTTGAAGATAAACTCTAGATAATATGATGGTGAATTTGATAAATGAGATGGCCACTAAGTCACCACAGAGGGGGTAGCATACACAACATGGACACATTGAACAAATGGGGCGGATCCACACTCTGGGCAGAGCAAAAGAAGAATGGCATGAGATTTCATTATGCTATTCAGAAAAGTGCTATAATTTTCCATTTATTATTTTCCTGCTGCTTTGACTACTGGCATGATACTATGGAAAGTTAAACCACAGATAAGGGGTGACTACTATGCACATCTATAGTCTCTCAGAGCCTCCCAACAGATAATGCAACATGTATAGCAGGCCAGGTGCCACGCAAAGGCTCTCACAGACAGAGGTCTTGCCTCCAAGGAGTAGATTTCTACTTTGCATCAGCCTAGCCTCCTCAGCTTTGCTCCTGCTATCTGGATTGCCATCTATACTCCTTTCCACTTATCTGAATTCTACACATTTAATAAGGCATGAGACATACCTCCCCTGTGAAATCCCTATGAAATGCTCTTTTTCCCTCTGGCTCCTTTAACATTTCTGATCTATATACCTTTCTGGTATATAGACTGCCATGGTTAATTATGTGTTCATATGTTTACAAGCTGTGTTTCTGGTGTTTTATTCATATTTGAATCTCCTTTACCCTTCAGTCCCTAGCACATGACTTGTAAATTTTAGGTACACAAAGCATGTTTGTCAATTGGTTAGTTTAAAATGTTATGCCTATACTACAAGATTAATGATGGGGAATTATTTGGATGTAAAAGACATATATATCTATGAATATATAATATGACTCATATTATATAGTGAGGAGCCTCCAACTAGCAAACTTCCACACCTTCCCTGTGAGCACGCCTCCCCTATTTCATTTCTGTACTATGAATTGGTAGAGACAACCCAAGACCCATGTCAAATGCCCCTTCCTCTCAGAGGCCTTAAAGAAGCCTGGCTGGCACAATACCCACCTCTGCTCTCACTGCTCCTAGACCACCTTGCCCAACTGTAGCACAGTGTTTGTGTGTGGCTCTCCTCTGATGATTCCTGCCAGCTTACAGACTGTGGAGCTCTCACCAAGGCCACTTCCCAATCCTCTCAGTCTTTCCTTCCACGACCCTGGGATGGACATGAGAGATGGGACGACCTCTGCATGATCGCAGTTGATTGGAAAACTCCCTGACCTACTTGCTCAGACCTGGATTGTGCATGTCTAGGTCCCAAGCTGAGTGCCAGGAAGCAAGGGCTGCCTGCCAATGTTAGTGGCAAGCCTCTCACTAACTCCATTCAGCTCTGCAAGTAGCCACTGAGAGCCAATTAAACGAAAAGAATTGGAGCACCACTAGCACAACACCTACTGTGTAGCAGCTGCTTTACACGTATGATGTGATTTATGCTCTATGTAACAATTTTGAAAAGTGTTATTCCCCCCCCCCACCAAAAGAGGGTCAGAGAGTCACCTACCATCCATATTCATTTTGGTGCAAAAAGTATAAAGGATCTACCAAAGGTTGGTAAAAAATGCATATTACGAAAAAATTTCATGGATCCCAAAATTGTTTTGCCCTAAAATAAACATCTTTCAATTTCATTTTCCACAAACTATGGACATACCCTCGTATACCTACTGTGTCCTTGCTATGAAACCAGACAGGAACTAAGGCTTTCTCCTGGGCCGTGAAAGCTGAGATGCAAGGGTCCTAGCAGATTTCATCAGTGCACAGGAGAAGACAGCAATCAGAAGTCTACACAGAGGTTAAAGCAGGTCTGACCAATGAATGAAACGAATATAACCAGTCGAAAAAAAGATCTTGGAGATGCCCTTGGCTTGGCATTGGATGCGTTCAAGCACGACAGGAGAGCAAACACGCGAGGGACAGGGGACTTTGCGACAGTCTTCTCCTGGGGATGCCCGGGGCCTCAGCCTTCTGTGCTGTGCTGTGTTCGGTGTGGGGGGAGAAGCGCGCAGTGCAGGGAGCCACGCACCTCCCCGCAACCCGGGGGGCAGAGACGCTGTTTCTCCGCCTTCCGCCCTAGGGGAGCGGAGCCAGCTCTTTCCCTGGCATTGGGGTCGGGGTCTCTCGTCGCGGCGTGGAGGGGTGGTGCTGGTGTTTTTCTCCCTCAGCTCTGAGGAAGGGTCGTTTTCTGGCTCGCCACAGGACGCGCGTGTCAGCGGGGAGGAGGCGACACCTCATCCCTCCAAGGCAGTGAGGATCGCCTCCCTCACCTCCATCTCGGCTAGGACAGGACTCTTACCCAGAGGGTGGTGGGCACTCGCGGGTCCCACACCCCTTCCCGACGAAGTCACGCTCAGCTAGCTGTGGGCACGGTTTGCCTTCCCCACCCGCCCGAGAGCCGTGAGGCGGCGACGGCCAGGTGCCCCCGGTGGCCGGCGGCGAGGCGAGGGCGGCGCCAGCTCTGCGGCGCGGGGCGGGGCCATCGCAGGCCCCGCCCACTCCCTCGCGCCGAGCTTCGCGAAGCCCCGCCGGCCCGGCCCAGTCCGCCGCGGCTGTCTGCGGGGATCGCGCTTTGCGGACCGGGTCTCCGCTGCCCGCAGCCGCCGCCGCTTCGGCCTCCCTCCGAGCCGCCCAACCCCGTCGCCTCGCGCGCCCCTAGTCCCTCCAGCCAGATGATGAACTTCCTGCGGCGCCGGCTGTCGGACAGCAGCTTCATCGCCAACCTGCCCAATGGCTACATGACCGACCTGCAGCGGCCCGAGCCCCAGCAGCCGCCGCCGCCCCCCGGCCCGGGCGCGGCCTCAGCCTCGTCGGCGCCCCCGGCCGCGTCGCCGGGCCCCGAGCGCAGGCCACCTCCCGCCCAGGCGCCCACGCCGCAGCCCGCGCCGCAGCCCGCTCCGGCGCCGTCGGTGGGCAGCAGCTTCTTCAGCTCGCTGTCCCAAGCCGTGAAGCAGACGGCCGCCTCGGCGGGCCTGGTGGACGCGCCCACGCCGGCGCCCGCCGCCGCCAGGAAGGCCAAGGTGCTGCTGGTGGTGGACGAGCCGCACACCGACTGGTAGGTGCGCCGGGCCGCCTCCGCTCCGAGGGCAGGGGTCCGCCGCGGGCGGCTGCGGGCTGAGCAGAGCGCGGTGTCGGGTCGCCCAGGAAGCTTTAAGACCGACCCGGGAATTAAAAAAAAAGAAAAAAAAGAAAAGAAAAGAAGGCTCGTGCCGTCCCGAGGGAGAGGCGGGCAGGCGCGCGGGCGCGAGTGCGTTTGGGGGCGCGGGAGGGCACCATGGACCCGGGAAGGTGAATCTGAGGTAAAATTCTTGCCCGCTCGCCTCAGATTCCCTGAGACGCAGCCAGGAAGGAGCCACTTTATGCAACAGAGGAGTCTTCCGAAATAGTTTTTCCCGTCTCCCCAGGAGGGGACGGTGAGAGGGGCGAGGGGGCGGCCGGAAGGCTGGGGTGAAAATGGTCCCTGTGACTGAGGAGATGCTAACGGCCGATAGGAAAGGCCCCTCATGACGAGGCCCGGGGTGCAAATTGGTATGGGGGAGTGGGAGGCTGTTCCCCCGGAGCAGGCACCCGAAGGCGACGTGGGAGCCCGTGGGTGGGATTCCGGTGTGCCCTGGTGTGCACCTGCCCGCCAGTCTGCGGTCTGTGCGGCAGGGAGGGCGGGCGCCGATGGAGTGTGCGTGGTGAGTGTGTGTGTGTGTGTGTGTGTGTGCACGCGTGGGTGGAGGAGGTGGGAGTGATGGTGGCTCATTGCAGGTAAAATAGCCTGGCTGCTGCAGGGGTGCCACGGGGGAGCTGCTTCCACGCACTGCGCGTTCACGGCCCGCCCCCAGCCCCCGCGGCATCTCCCCCAGAGTGGCTGTGAAACATTCGCCCTCAGCGGCGAAAGCTCAGGTGGGGCTCGTCTCAGACCAGGAGGGATTCGAGTTGATGCAGCTGGAAGCCGACCCAGGGGATGGGGGGATGATGCGGAAGGGAGGAGGGGCACCGCATCTCCAGGGACGTGAAGAAGGGCTTTGTGGTTGTTGGCTGGCCTCAGTGTTGCGCCTGCGAGGAGGTCCAGGGGGCCCAGGAGGCTTCTTATCTCCATTTCCTCTTTGCTTGCTTCCCAGCGAGGGCTGGAGCGAGGGCAGGTGTGGGCAGGAGGCTGGGCATGGTGGAATGAGATGTGAGTGTGAGTGTGGGGGTGCCTGCCTGCTGGCAGCCAGGGGCATCATTCTGCACAGTTGTTTTGGTGTCTGTTAAAGGCAAAGTGGAAAATCTGAAGGTGCGAACAAGCGGGTAACGGGGACGGGTTAGAGGACACATCGGCCGTGACAGCCCCCTGAGGAGATCGCTAGAACTCAGGTTACATCAACAGGTGCTTGTTCAAGGGAACAGGACAAAAACCAAAGTCCTGAGCATGTTATACGCCAAACTACTGGGTGCTCACAATAGATTTTCTTATTGAATTCTTACCACAAAACCAAGGCTTTGAAAATGTAAATACTATTTTCACAGTCATACAATTTGAATTAAGGCCCATTAGAATTCACTGTTGCCACTTACGATTATTGTATTATTTTAGTAATAAGCTTACTCTAGGGCCAAGGCAGTGTGGGGGCCCTTTAGGGAACGTACGTGCCAATTTGGGAGAGAGAATGGGTACATGAAACATATAAGAAAATCTAGAGTTATTGCTAGAGACAAGGTGTTTGGGGCCTTCAGTGACTGGAGTGATTGGTGAGAGCTGGAGTTGCTGGAGGAAGCTTCACGAAGGTAGATCCACAGAAAGGCCAGAAAGAGGGGAGGGATGTGAATGGCCTTTCCTTTTTTCGTGAGAGACTCTGACCCTTAAGTACTGTTTGTTGACCTTGCATCCTGGTGAAGGCATTAGTTTTGGGTCTAATTAATAGTAAAGCACCCAAAGGAAGGCTTTTGTTTATAAATGCTTTTAGTGGCTTGAGATTTGAAAGTCTTTTTGGATGGCATTATTTTATAGAAAGCCTGACATAAAATAGAGAATTGGCCTCACCCTGGAGACAAGACTAATGGTGGAAATTAGAGAAGCTACTTTTGTTCCTGGCGCAGTAGCCTAGTGACTAAAGTCCTCACCTTGAACACACTGGGATCCCACGTGGGCAACCAGTTCTAGTCCCGGAGACCCCGCTTCCCATCCAGCTCCCTGCTTGTGGCCTGAGAAGACAGTGGAGGACGGGCCAAGGCCTTGGGACCCTGCACCTGCCTGGGAGACCTGGAAGAAGCTCTGGTGCCCCATGAGGGAGATTTCCGTTGATTGTTCAGCTTTTGGCTTTGCCATGATCCTGTTGGAGGTATTTGGTCCTAAAACAGTGAACGGCAGGACTCTCCCTCACTCTTTCCATCTGCCTCCTGAATAAATAGGTGAATTGAAATTTCAAATGTGCAGTTTTCTGTGAAATTCTTGAAGCTTTCTCCTTTATGCTAAATACTGTTTACTGTGCTTGAATAGGAAGACCAAGTGTGGTCTCCCAGTAGAACTCAAAAATGGAGCCCATCTGATTTACAGAATACTAAAAGAAAGAGGGTTTTAACACCCACTTAAACAATTAGAGAATTAGAAGAGGGCTTAAAATAGGTAGCATCCCCGCGCATCCTTAATACACAGCACAGTCCTTTGAATTTCTATCTAATTGCAAGCACAGAATTGATAGAACTTCCCACTCGCCAGGTTGATGGGAAAACTGGAAGGTGTTTTTCTTTCTTATATTCAAGATGTATTCATTGGTTGTTTGAAATGTTTAGACTAAGGGCATTCTAAAAGATCATTGAAAATTTTGTTGGTGCTTCACAGAAAATACAGTCATGCTCCTTATCAGCTCATCATATACTTCATTAATTATTACTAATGTTATTTTTTATGTTGCCAGAATATGCATGTCTTCTTTTAAGCTTGGCACATACATTTGAACTGCAGCTTTCACTTTAATGACCTTTGTACCTGTTTGTGTGAATACTTGTGTCTTCTGTATATTCCATCTCACTGAGTAAGAGGTAAGTTTTCTATCAGATTCTTCCTTTCCTTCTAGGAATTCTGAGTGCAGTGACAAACTGAGCTTTCCATCCTGGGACTTCTCAGTGTTTGATTTAGTGTTCAGTATGGCACAAATCTGCTGATTATCTAGATACTGCTGATAAGATTAGGCAACAGGTGTCTGTTGAATACATTCTTTTAATAGAGTTAAATTTACTACAGACGAATGAGACGTAGTGTCAACTTTGTAAGATCTTACTGTCCAATCAGATAGAGAAGATACATATACTGTTAAAAAATGATAATTACAAATTACCCTTGGTATTCCAAGTATGATCTTTGGACCAACAGCATTGGTATCAAACAGGAGATTTTTGAACTGTTGCATCTTGGGTCCCATCCTTTGCCTGATGACTCACACTTTGTGCTTGAGCACGAGCCTCAGGTGATTCATGATCACATTGTATTTGAGTGTGGTAAACTGGTGGCCGTGTGCTCAGTGCTGCAGGTGTTATACATTGAGCTGTTATATATATAACTGTGTGAGAGGGAGAACTTCAGAAGGTTCTTACAAAATTTGTATTATGGAAAAGCTACAGATGAATTTCAAATGATTAACACCAAAATTATTTACTTTTATAAAGATTTATTTATTTTTTATTAAAAGGCAAATTTATAGAGAGGAGAAATAGAAAGATTTTCCATCCTCTGGTTCACTCCCCAAGTGGCTGCAATGGCCCGAGCTGAGCTGATTTCAGGAACCAGGAGCTTCTTCTGCATCTTCCTGTGGGCACAGGGTCCCAAAGCTTTGAGCTGTCCTACTGCTTCCCCAGGCCACAAGCAGGGAGCTGGATGGGAAATAGAACACCAGGACACAAACTGGTGCCCAATGGGATTCTAGCACATGCAAGATGAGGATTTAGCCACTAGGCTATCGTGCCAGATCCCAGAATTATTTTTTAATTCCATTTTCTACAAAATTTTGTTTAAAAGAGCTTTATTTATTTACTTGAAAGAGTTACAAAGAGAGATGGAGAAACAGGGAGAGCTTTCCAATCTGCTGTTTCAGTCCCCAAATGGTTGCAAAGACCAGAGCTGGACTGGTGCAATGCCAGGATCCAGGAGCTTCTTTGGGGTCTTCTGCTTTCCAAGTGACCACAACAGCTAGAGCTGAGCCAGTGTGAAGCCAGGAGCCTGGAGCTTCTCCCAGGTCCCCCATGCAGGGTGGCAAGGCTTTGGGCCGTCCTCGACTGTTTTCCCAGGCCACAAGCAGGGAGCTGGATGGGTAGTGGAGCTGACGGGACATGAACCAGCGCCTACATGGGATCCTAGTGTGTTCAGGTGAGGACTTTAGCCACGAGGCTATGCGCTGGGCCCGGCTAATCCTTACTTTGTATGCACTGGGATGCCATATGAGTGCTGGTTTGTATCCCAGTTGCTCCACTTCCCAAATGAGGTGTGGGACTTCTCTCTGGTAAGTATGCCTAAGCCATTAGCAGGAAAGTAGATCCGAAGTGGAAGAGCTGGGACAGGAACTGGCAGCCCGTATCATTGCCAGCATCACCACAATGCTGGCAGCAAATCCTGTTAGTTCTCTCCATTGTCAGCCACTAGTAATGACTGTTGTGAGTTCAGATTTACTATTTTTCGAAAAAACCTATGCACATGAAAGAGGATATACAGTATTTCTGCATCTGGCTCATTTCACGTCACAGCACGTCTGTCCATTTTGCTGCTAATGTAATGACTTAATTCTTTTTGCAAAAGCAGTTTTTAAGTGTTGTGTGATTCAGTGCTGTTCAACACTAAAAACAAGCTGTAAGGATTTAAGGATAAGGTGAGAACAGGCATTGTCTATTGGGATTTTTCATCCGGTATTTAAACACGATTTTAAAACAGTATGATGATTAATATACACAAGGTACTATGGGAATAAAGATAAGAATTATATTGGAAAGTGAAGATGGGGTTAGAAATATTTCATAAAGATGTGCTGCTGTGCATTCTTAAGTAAGCTACTTTGACCTTTGAACTTTCTCTATGAATTCAAATGAGAAAATGAAATA